TTTTTCTTGAAACTGTTTTAGTCAAAAACTGTGCCGTTTCGGGAATCTGTGTTTTAGTACCTCTTAGGGTCGGATTTTGAAAATCTTTTCTTCATCAAATTTCTTCATCTCGTCGAAATATAAAATTGTCACTTTTGTGAAAAATCGAGATTCAGCTTCTAAGGGTCCCGTTTGGCTGAACCAGTGGCTGCCAGTTTTTTTTTCGAAACTGTGTTGGACAGCTTGTCCGTTTTTGCCAAATGGCTTCAAACTTGGTTTTAGAGTTAAAATTAGGTTTTGTCATAGTAACCGAAAATGTTCAAAACATCCAGGGCTATAAGTTCAAGCTTTAAAACATTGAAAAATCTCGCTCTATGGTCCTCATTTTCGCGGTCAAAGTCACCGGAAAATTTTTCCTCTAATCCGAAAATAAGCAACTTAGATCAAGCATAAACATACCCCATCAAACTAACCTCAAAACTCACAAAACTAACATAAAACTCACACACCCTTATTACAACTTATTTCCTTGAGAATCACAATTTACATAAATGGATTCTCAAACTTAAACTTTGCTAGAAAATAATTGAAAAGAGTTCAAGAAGTTACCCTTGAAGAACTCTTTCTTGAGAGCCATTTAGATCCTTCTCTTCTTCTCCAAGGTTTGTTAATGGCTTGGAACTATAAGAGTATAAGGAAATTTAAGAGGAATATTTCTACATTTCAAACTTCACTAAAACATGAGAATGAGAGGATTTAGAGTTTCTTTACCCTTAGAGGAATACTTGACTAGTCTCCTCCTAGAATCCCTTGATCTCCTTCTTCTTCTTCTATGGTGTGATAGTGGCTCAAGATTGAGAGAGTGGGAGAAAATATTTGAGAGGAAATGGAAAGTGTGTAGCCGGATTTTTGATGTGGGAAAAAGGAGAAAAAAAATGAAGCTTATCCTATGATGGTTCCTTTTATAGGCAACTTGGAATAATTTTTTAACATCACATTAACTCCTTCAATCAACCAAATTTTGGTTCAATTCTCCCCTTTCTTGGCCGGTTATGGAAGGAGAAAAGGAGAAGCAAAATTGTCATTAATTTCCCTTCAACCACTACCATCACATCACACCATAACTTGTAACCTTTTATCACACTCAACTAGCCAAATTTTGGCTCTATTTCTACTATACATGGCCGGCCAAGTGGAGAATGAGAGAGAGAAAAATAAATCCTACCCCTTGTACTTTTGTCCACTCTCTTAAGTTTCTCTTGAAACTGCTAAAAATTATACTGACTGTAGGTAAGTAACTTAGCCGACAGGAAATTCTAGTTTCTGACGATTCCTTTTCAACTGCTTATTTACAATTTAATATTAATTCCCGACTACTTAGGGATCACATTAAATTCTCACTCGCGTAATATCTTAAACTGTTTCAAGTCTTGAAATTAATTCTAGACTGAATAAATTCTAAATTTAACTTTTCTGCATTATATCCCGGGAGTGACATTATTTCTGACGGTGTCAACTCCTTAGCTCACATTGTACCCTTCTACTATAGGTATCTATCTTGTGACTTTAACCTAGCTGTCTGGCAATTAAGGATTTTCTTTTTTTTAAAAAGGTCAGTGCGTTTTTTTTTATGCTGCTAACATCTTGCTGTGTTTGGAGATTCTTGAAATTAAGATTCTCAAACTATACTTGTACTGAAAATTATTCCGCCTTAAAGTACGGCAAGAATTTATCGATCGAATTTACTTGATCGAAAACATGAACTTAACATGAAATCTGCTACAGAATTTAGGAATACATATATTGATTCCATAAATCCTTCAGTCACATAATATTTTCTAGGAAAATCCTTGGCTTAAATAAATAAATTGTATTATTTAAAGTCTGAAATTTTCTCAGTCATTACACCTTTGATCAGAGCACGGCGACCCATCCTATGGCGGTGCCGGACTCCAAATTCAATTTGGGGGGGGTGGGTAGGGGTTGTTACGAAGGAAGTTTTGTTGATGAAACCCTAAAAAAAACTCGGAGGAAAAGAGAGAAACAAGATAGAGCAAAATAATAAGGCCCGTTCATTTCGCCGATTCGAGTTTAGAATTCGAGTTTTGCTACAGTAAAAAGCTCTCAGAAACAGTCACATCTAACTTTTTTACTACAGTAAAAAGTTCTCACACAAAATCACATCTCAACTCAAATTATAAACTCGAATCAGCGAAGTGAACGGACCCTAAGATTATTAAATAAACTATAAATATAGATATAGATTTAGAATAAAGGAAATCAGAATTAGAAGAAAGGAATCAACAGTCCTAAAAATTCCGTAAATCATTAATAGCGGACGATTTTTAGCTCAGAGGCTAAATTGTGAGATATAAAAATTTTGGGGGCATCCATGTAAAAAAAAGGCCTAACTGATAATATGGAATGGATGACTGTTGGTAGCTCTTTCCTCTGGCTCTCTTTGCCGCTCATCACCTTCACCAGCTTCGCTTACTCTCTCCCCGCTCTAATTTATTCCCAAGTACGTCAACATCGTTTCTTTCTTTGTATTTCTGCCTCTCTCTCTCTCTCTATTCTTTATTTCTGTTCATTGAAGGAATTCTGCTGCTTTAACTAACCATCTGTTCCTGCAAATTGTTATTCTTGTCATTTTCATTTCCCTCTTTCCATTAAAATTCCTCCTGGGTATTCATGAAAATCAGTTCTTACATCCAAAATAAACCATTTTAAGATTTCTGCCTCACGGAAAGTATTCTAACCGGTTTAAACTTTAAAGTTTTGTGCTTTGTAATATATATCATCATCTGGGTGTTCATCATTTCTTATTGTTTGTATTGATTTAGGCTCAAATTCTCACACTGCTTTGCACTCTGCAGAGACGGATTTTGTAAAGTTTGACTGACACCCATTTGAATAAACAACACAACATAATGGCTTCCACAATTTTCAGAAGCCTTCAAACCCGCCCTTTTTGTTTCTACCCAAAAGCGTTGTTCAGAAGAAAGAATGGAATTCTGTATTGCACAATGCAAAACACACAAGCCCAAACAGCCACACAAGAGAAGCCCATTACTAAAACTACCACTCCCGAGTTGAAAAAAGCTCCTGCCAATTACAAAACGATTGATGAAAAAATCTTGAAGGACTACGAGGCAATCATTGGGATAGAAACCCATGTTCAGCTTTCAACTCAAACCAAGGCCTTTTGCAGCTGTGCCTACAGCTATGGTGCCCCACCAAACTCCGGCATTTGCCCGGTTTGTATGGGCCTTCCTGGAGCTTTGCCAGTTTTGAATTCAAAGGTCATTGAGTTTGCAATCAAAGTGGGGCTTGCACTGAATTGTAAGCTGTTTTTGAACTCCAAGTTTGATAGGAAACAGTACTTTTATCCGGACCTTCCAAAGGGGTACCAAATATCTCAGTTTGATGTTCCAATTGCGAGTGGAGGGTACATTGATATTGATCTTCCAGTGGAGTTTGGAGGTGGGCATAGGAGGTTTGGCATCACAAGGGTTCATATGGAGGAGGATGCTGGGAAGCTTATTCATTCAGAGAGCGGAAGTTACTCAGAAGTGACTACTTTTACCTTCTTTGAACTATAACTTTTCTATCTCTTGTTGTTGAATGTACCAATTATCTAGTTGCTTTGCTGATTTTCTAGTTATATGATATTATGATGTATGGTTTAAGTCCATCTTTTGAGTGTCCTTTTGTTTGACTAATAAACAATTACAGGAAAAAAATGGCATTTCTTTTTTATTTTTTATCCTTACACGTAGAAGCATTTTGGTAAAGGAATCTAGAAAAAAACAGCACAAAAAGAGCGCTTTAAGACTGGAGCTTTCGAATTCTGCCTCATGTTGTTCATTTTTTTTTCCTTAAAAAAAAAAAATAAATAAAAAAAAAACCATGGTTGGAAGTTGGGAAATGAATTTTGGTGCATTCCAAGTAGTGTGACACAAATGTTGTTGCTTTGCCCAGAGAACAGGAAAATTGCTACATGTTTTGTTTACTTAAATTTTTTTTTTCCTCCCTCAATTGTTTCTACCTGCAGGTTGATCTAAACAGAGCTGGGGTGCCCTTGCTTGAGATTGTCTCAGAACCTGATATGAGAACTGGTATTGAGGCCGCAGAATATGCTGCAGAATTACAGCGTCTGGTTCGATATCTTGGAGTTAGTAATGGCAATATGCAAGAAGGGTCACTTCGTTGTGATGTCAATGTCTCAATTAGACCAGTTGGACAATCAAAGTTTGGGACGAAGGTGACCTAACCTCTTTTTTTTCCCCCTCCCCTTTCATGTGAATTATAGAACTCAACACCCGATAGCAACTGTATTAATCATAACAATTATAATAGGAGTATATAAAGAAAAGACGTTAGAATTTATAGTTGAGTGATCAGTCAATAAACTTTTCTATTTAGTTGGAGGTCATAGATACTTTTCACTGAATCTTATGTTGCGAAATTGTCACTCAGAGTTTGTTGGTGGTTCATTATCTTTGAAATATGATGTTCCAAATGTATGATGTTAACATTTTCCATGTTTATAAAGGAGCATAAGTTTTTCATTTTGAATTCAGCGAAATTTGTTAAAAAATTTTGAAGGCCATATTGCATTTCATACAAACAAGTAATCTTCCGATTCCAATGTTTCATTCAACTGTCGTTCTTTTTCCCAATAAAGAAATTTATCATTTTGTTATTTCATGTGGCCCAATTGTTGGTAACGGTTCTGTCTCTAGGCAGCATGAATATGAGTGCTAGAGGATACAAGTATGCCAATTGAACAATTCCTGAAAAAGAAGGAAATCATAGTTTATTTTCCTATGCTCATTAGCCTAATTATAAATTTTGACATTATTTCTTAACAATCATCTATAATGCAAGCTTGAATAAGGAAATTGATTGTTGCCTGTTATGTTTAAGCTACAACTATAGTCGTCTGTACTAAATATAATTGTGTACCAACACTATGAGCCGTATAGGAGATATTACAATGAGATTTTGATACATATGTTTTTATATATGAATTCGGGTTGCTCTTTGTTTTGGCAGGTTGAGATAAAAAATGTAAACTCATTCTCTTCAGTGAGCAGGGCAATTGATTTTGAAATTTCGAGGCAGGCACTTCTTTATAGTCAAGGACAGGCTGATGAAATTGTACAGGAAACTCGACAATGGGAAGAAGGTGCTCAGGTTATTGCTGAATCTTTTTGCTTTATCATGTTCTAGATATGTACTTTGCATGAGTAAGTTTGCTCGAGTAACCTTTCTTCTATATCTCAGAAAACTGTTGAAATGAGGAAAAAGGAAGGACTAGCCGATTACCGATATTTCCCAGAACCAGACCTTCCGGGAGTTACCCTCACTCAAGAATATGTTGATAATATTCGCAGTTCTCTTCCTGAACTTCCAGAAATGAAACGACGGAGGTACGAAAATATGGGTCTAAGCATGCAGGATGTTCTGTTCCTAGCACATGACATGGATGTAAGTGGCATGAATGATATGCTGAATTATCATACTTGTTGATATGATGCTTTTTGTATTTCGAAGTCCCCCGATTAAGTTATGGTAATTGGTCTGAGATGCATCTTAGTGTCGACTCTATGTTTAGGTTGCGGAATTTTTTGATGCAACTATAGCAAATGGTGCGGAAGTGAAGCTCACTGCCAACTGGATAATGAGTGATATTGCTGCTTATCTGAAAAATGAAAAGTTGACGATCAGTGAGGTTAAGCTTACTCCCCAAGAGTTGTCTGAGTTGATAGCTTCAATAAAAGGTGGAACTATTAGTGGGAAAATTGGGAAACAGGTAAAGTTTTAACCTTCTCAGATTAATTCTTTCATCTTCAACAATTACATTTACATATAAATTTTCTCCTCTCCTTCCCTTTTCTGTTCCGGTATGGATATCAAAAGCGTCCATATGAAGTACATAATGCCATTTTCTGTGAGATACAAAATAAAAATAAAAATAAAAATAAATAAAAAAAATAAAAAAAAAAGAGAGGCTCTCCCCTTAGAATATAAACTAATGTTAGTCTACCTCCTAATAGCTTAAGCTTTTGGGATATAATGTTAGAGGAGGAGGTCCCGAGTTAAATCCCTGTAATTGCACTAAAAAATTGTCATCGCGTGTTGGACCTTTAATATCTTTCGGTCGTATAATTCAATAATCACATGTCAAGGCCTCTCCAATTAGTATTTTGACCGTCATGATTGCCCAAAACCCATGATATTAGTTTTTGATCTAGTGGGTCATTGCAACATCTATAGTGGGCTTTCGGTTTCTTTAGGTGTTGGACTTTTGCATAACAGTACTGCATTGACTTGTTTAAATGAATTAAAATTAAAAAGACCTTATGGTGGGCTTTTCACTAGAGGATCATTATCTCCCTTACGTAGTCTTTGACACACTATATGATTATTTTTCTTTCTCAAATTTTCTCTCCATACAATTTGCAGATATTGTTTGAGCTTCTGGAAAAGGGTGGAACTGTCAAGGGAATCATAAAAGAAAATAATTTGGTTCAGGCAAGTTATTCAATTTATTGCGGAAGGCCGTTTAAGTGTTGGGTTCTTTAACTGTTTTCTTCTAGGTGTAATTGTTATATTATTGTCTTGAAATTTTGTCATAAAAATCCCTAATTAGGAGTGTCAGTATTGGAGGCTCTAAAGTCTAAATCAAGGGATATGTGGTCCTTAATATGAGGTTTTAGTTAACCAATCTTGTTGTTCAACCATGCTTACTAGGGAGAAAAAGGGTGAAAATGAATTTTATGAACATTTATAGCGACTTTCTATGCTCTAGATATAAGAACTAAAGAAGTATGATTCCTCAAAGTAGACATGATAAACAGTTCTTTTCTGTCAAATTCAACACTACTGACAAAAGACATGGAAATAAATAAATAAATACAAGTTTTCCAATGTGCCATTACAAACTTGAAATCAGCTTGTGGTGTTTTTCCTTCAGATAGCCTGCTGACCTTAGAGTTTTGTTGTTATTCTTTTCAAATGTGTCATATAAGAGAAGTTTTAGTATGATTGTCATACTCATCACAACTGTATAAACTCTGCATCTCACTTTAACTCGATTCGTTTAATATATTCTAAATTGTGAAGTCGTATAAGCTTATGAAGGTCTCTATTTGTGTAGCAAACATGATGGGGCAGAAAATTGTTTGCATTTGAAGAATATAGAATTTAGTTTAAAAAAAAAGGACGCTGTATATGCATCAAACGTATTTACATATAAAGGATGTATTTTTAGTTGAAGTTGGTGGATTTCTCATGCTTTTGATTGCAGATAGCAGATCCTGTAGAAATTGAGAAAATGGTAGACAAGGTGCTTTCTGAGAATCCAAAGCAGCTAGAGCAATATTGCGGTGGAAAGACCAAGTTACAAGGTTTCTTTACTGGCCAGGTACTACAGAATTCGGCGTTGGCTTATCTTTTGTATCAACTCCTTTCCCTTGCCCAGTGACAACATTTTCCTTTATGCAGGTTATGAAATTATCCAAAGGAAAAGCAAATCCAGGGCTTCTGAACAAGATCCTCCTCGAGAAATTAAACGCCAATAGTTGATAAGCATCAAGGTGGTCACCCGAAACGGACATCTCGTATTCCCTCGTTCTGCCTTGTTCAGACATGCACAGCTTGCGTTTTTTTTCCTGTCATTTTGAAGTCCTTTTCTAGTTTCATCACGAGATATGACCTTGCTACTGGATAATTAACTTCATCTGTCATACAAACCAGTAACGTCTCAACTATCAGCTGAAGACCGGCGAATAAATTCTCTTGCTCATTGCTGCCCGCCCCCCCCCCCCCCCCCCCCTTC